TTTATCAGTATATGTATAATTGCCTGTTAAGCCCATATCGTCATACAACCTTGTAGCCTTAACATGTTTGTGTGATGTTTGTCTTTATACATTCTTGTTTGTTTAACAAGGATCAGCGGCCTTGCTTTATATCACACCCACACCTAATATATCTGACTGACCTTGCCAAGGATTACTGTGAACAGGAGAAACTACATGCATTCCACTGTGTTTGTGAGTGCATGGCTTGTGTCGACGATTTTTTTCCTGCATGACCTTTACAAATAAAGAAAACATAACTTTAATAAAGGTCACATAGAAGCAACTGATCGTCACTAATTCATGGTTACAATAATGTTTTGCGCCTGGTTTATGTTGAAAATTTTTGAAATGAACCAATACATGCATATTCAAACTTATTGCATGTACTAGAACACTCGTAACAGAAGAGTTACACTGGTGCTTGTATAAACTATAATTAGGATATAGGATATAGATTTGCGTTCTAACTATACGCCCCTGGTTCTGTCTTTACTCTTCTCTACTTTAGTACCCAAGCCATGTCTTTGTCTTCTTGCCTTTGATAGATAGATTACTTTACTTAACACAATTTTCGCATGCACGTCTGACCTTACTAGTACAGCATTGGCTAGTAGAGCTAATATACGAAAGCTATTAATTGTGGTGGTGTTGAGAACACGTCCATTAGGGAAGTTAAGAAAAGGTGCAACCGTAAAAAAAGGCAGCAATAGTATTTGGTGAGATAATATCATCTCAGGAGTGTCAGTTCAAGATGAATGACACGAAAACTTTCGCATGTCTAGAGAGACATTAAATTATTTGTGCATTGTTAAATGTTTGGACTTCTAACAATGACGAGAGGTTACGATCACTATGTTGTGAACACTAGCGAAACCGTATGGAAACTCTGACTGTTAGGTTTCAAAAGTTTGGTTTCAGTGTGCACTTTCGCCCGATATATGTTTGCGGATACAAAAGAATCCAGATGTGAACAGACGTTAAAATGTGGCGTCATTATTTCGCAACGGCGTTGTGTGAACGTGTAGCCTAACTAGCCTCCTCCGCAGGCATCTCGTGGTTCACTACCATATCTATGTTAACACTACTAACTTTACAAAGCCGCTTCAATTTTTTGCCCGCAAGTAAATTTTGCCCGCTAATCTAAAGGCAATGCCCGCGGAGGATGCTATGGCCTAACAAGCAATATATATGCATGTGACGTTGTCTTTGGAGTTAGTGCACGAAGTCGAATTGAAGGTTATAGTGTAGGTTTTTCAGGACTTCGATACATAGTTATATCGTCATCGATTTTCACTCTTAGTTTGGGAAATCTGCCGCATCCAATAATGCTACTTTTAAAAATACCAAAACAACTGCGAAGACTTGAAGCTAACTCTTGAATTTGCAGTAAATTATTTTTTGGAATGCTTTAAACTGACAAGTGACAGAGCTTGTTCCAATGGTTCCATAAAGCCTGTGTGGCGTAGTTAAATACATGAATGTATGCAAAATCACTAAGTATATATAACGAATATTAAAAAATTGAGAGGAATTATCTCAAAGCAAATTAGTGATTTTCCTAAAGTGAAGAACATTTCTTTGTCAACATGACCACATGTATATTTTGTGGCTGGTTAGCCGCCATTATTCAGGCTAACTGTATATTTAAACTATCGTGTTGGCGATCTAATCCAGTTTACTGTACCTATAGACTCACTAAATAAATACCATAATTATATAATATTTTCTTGTTTTGTCTTTTGTTTGGACACTTTCCCCTATACGAATGAGCCGCTAAAGTGCACACGACACGAAATTTTCTCCCCAATGTTTATGCATCACTCGAAAGTATACCTTAAAATGTTGAAGAATAGCGGCCTTAACAATTTATTCACAGATCATCTCGTTTCAAAGTTATCGGGCATTTTTGTGTCATGACGTCACTAGTTGTTTAAAGCAACGCACTAGTTACCAGATCTCTCTTCTTATTTTAGTATTGCCTGCCGTAGACACTTTGTAACGAAAAATAGTTTTTATTATATACACAAGATCTGGATATGAGGTATTCTGCAATCTGATTGGTTCTCTGAGAAAAACAAAATGGCGGCCAAACTGAATTTACGATGTTTTGCAAACGAGAAAACGGCAAGTTATCGCTTTTTATAGCCGTCACAGGATTAAAAACACAATGAAAAAACTCCCAAAAAATTGTTTTCAGGTTAGCAAATAAATTTTTAATATTTAAAATGGTTAAAAATATATATTTTTGAAAAAATAATCGGCGGAAAGAGCGAAGATAAAAACATAAACAAAATAGAAAAATATTGAAAATATTCGAAAAGCAAAGTCTGTGAATTCAGACCTTGTGTATATAATAAAACAGTTATTCCACTCACTCTCGTCGAATATGAGCGCTACGCGCCTCATCGGCTATCAGCTCATATTCGACTCGAGTTCGTAGAATAACTGTTAAATATTCGCCATCCCCCCAAAAGACGCCAATAATAAATGGAATAACAAAATTCCTTTCTTTTTTGTTGAAGCACAGGCGGCCCAATCTCTGAATGTCCTATACATTTTGAATATTTAACCGTTATAATATTTAATAACGAAATAATTCAAAAAATATTAGCAGTATATGCAAAAAATATATCGTTAATATGATGCATTTATTGTGTTTCTGAGTTTAGTTGATACGATTGCTTTACGTTTTCGTCGTACTTGAACGGTCGTCAGTACTGGCACTGAACGACATGGCCATAGGATATTCATATCCTAAAAAAATACATTCTTCATCATTTTGAAAGTACTTTTAAGTGATGCATAAAAAATGTGGGGGAAATTTTGTGTCATATGCACTTTTAATGCTCGCTTTTAAACAATGTCGTGCTGATAAACCGCGCACTTTCGAGTGTTTATAACAACACAGCCAAAAATATCCAATTGGGCATTTTTTACTGCATTTTTGTGTTTCCATGAACGTAAACTTTATAAAGATTATCGCCCGTATTCTAAAAGTTCACTCACACTCAATGAGTGGAGGTTCAATCTGAGCTTATCTTGAGTGTTAATGCTGTTTTTGAATAGCTGGAGGGCTAGTGTCATAACTTACTCGGTGACTACTCGCCCTCCAGTTATTCAACAACACCATTGGCACTGAAGAGAAGCTCAGATTGAACCTCCACTCATTGAGTGTGAGTGTAAATGGGTTTTTAGAATACGGGCGTATAAAAATGACAGACCTGCATATGACCAGTCTTAACAAAGATTTTTGGGCCGGGTGTCTTGTTGGACCATACTGGCACAAAAAATGGACACTTCCAATAAAGGATTTTTTCACGTTTCTTCCTTACTCCCTCCCCCTTTTTGAGGTCATTCGTATGGGGAAATTGCATGTCGAAATTTTGTCACGACCCCTTCTTAGTCTTACGGTCCTTTTGTTCTAGAAAGAATATGAGTATTGCTGAAACTAATAACTGACAAAAAAGCGTATGATATCAGATGCTGTTAAAATGCAAGTAAAGGTAATGTAATCACTGTTCAACAAGGTATACAATAGCACGAGTGCCACGAATGCTGTATACAGCTATTTCAATTAAGGTTGTCCCCCGAACCATAGACAATCAAAGGAATTGGCATATATTCTCTGCTTTTGGTACCGCCAAAAAATATCTTTTACCTTTGCGTTTGTTAAAAAAAAGGGAAAAAATATATGCAAAATCTACATTCTTTAAACTTTTTTACAGGCCAGTTGCCACGGTAACTGATAAATTGATACGTGCTAGCCCGTATCACGGATGCCGCGTTCGCGTCACAGCGTTTTGCTTAGCGTTTCCAGTCCATTCCTTTGATTGTCTATGCCCGAACAAAGCGGAAAAGTCGAATACGAGCGCGAAAGGCTGCTGGGCCTGGGAATCGCTAATAAATGAATGAATCGGAATTTATTAGCGATTCCCAGCAGCCTTTCGCGCTGGCATTCGACTTTTCCCGCGCTTTGCTCGGGGGACAACCTTAATTGAAATAGCTGTATACAGTAGCGGACGATAGGGGAATACGGGGAGAAAGGGGCATTAGGTTGCCGGCATATGACCACCTTTTGTGGCGGAAATCTTAGTTCTTTAAACTTCTTTGCCTTAAATAGCTTAATTTATGGTCTATACCGATGCTTTCATAGTTGAAAAATTATTGTTACAGCTTTGCTACACAGTTTATTTAGATGTCATGAAAGGCTTTCAGAAATTATTGAGGAGGCGGTCCACCACCCCCCTCTGTATACCACTCTAATGCATGTCTGCAGCCACTGTTCTAGTATGTTACTCGTGTTTCTTTTAGATGAAAACGTTCGAATTCTTTAATACTTTAAAAACAACATTTCATGCATGATTTTTTTATTAACGAGAACATAACATCTTTAAAAGAACCGGTCACGTTGGCTGGGTTTTCGTATCTGCCCATGCAGATTATGGTTATCCTATAAGTTTGAGAACGATTGTGTAACTTTTAGCCAATCAGCGACGAGCTTATAAAATACCAATCAGCGATTAATATTACACCACATGCAAAACGTAACCATGCGACTGGACAATCTGCATACATAATGGCATACATGGTATAAATTGCTGGTAGCAAGTCAGAAAACTTTAATTAAACATATTTTTGTACGTTTCTCTATATTGAATATATATTTTACGTCTAGTTATTTTGAAGGTAATAATTTACGGTATGATGCTTGTGATGTTACTCTGAGTGTATATCCACACCGGGTAAGCTTGAAAAATATGCCTGGCCACGGTGGGAATCGAACCTACGACCTTTGGAATACTAGCCCAATGCTCTGCCAACTGAGCTACGCGGTCAGGTCGGTTCGAGTAAGTGATATTTCGGAACAGAATCTAGTTCCTTCGATATCATTGTAATCTAGTAATCATGATTTTTTTCTGTGTTGATGTGATGTACTCAGGTGAATATGATGCTTGTGCCCTCACAATGGCATATTTTTCAAGCTTACCCGGTGTGGATATACACTTAAAGTAACATCACAAGCATCATATTCATGCTTGTGATGTTACTTTGAGTGTATATCCACACCGGATAAGCTTGAAAAATATGCCATTGTGAGGGCACAAGCATCATATTCACCTGAGTACATCACATCAACACAGAAAAAAAATCATGATTACTAGATTACAATGATATCGAAGGAACTAGATTCTGTTCCGAAATATCACTTACTCGAACCGACCTGACCGCGTATCTCAGTTGGCAGAGCATTGGGCTAGTATTCCAAAGGTCGTAGGTTCGATTCCCACTGTGGCCAGGCATATTTTCCAAGCTTACCCGGTGTGGATATACACTCAGAGAAGCATCATATTCACCTGAGTACATCGCATCAACACAGAAAAAATCATAATTTACGGTATATTGGGCTGCGCTGTTGTCAACAACATAGCAGTTAGGGATTTTATTCCCAAGTATATCTGTGATAAAATTAAACTAAACTATATAAAAGACTAAAATCTGAAGGTTTTTATATAATTGTTGGCCCGTAGCCTTTATGTATATACACTTGTTCTCACCCTATTTGTACCAGGGGTGCGCACAATGAGCGCACCCCTATAATTTTTTGTCGTTTATTCCGGAAGAAGTGATCCTATCCGCCTAAGCTTTTATGACTTTTAATATTTTTCTTCTGCGGTCATGACTGAAAAGAAATTTCAGAACAATTCAAAGTTGACGATATCCGTCAAACAAGGCGTCCGAGTGGCAAAAATGAAAACAAAACTGGGTTGGTCATTTATGACAGTATTTGTAGGCTGACATTTATACTGGCAGGACATTTATAGCATATTACAATTAGAGAACATATAAAAACGGAATATTACACATATTAATTGGCAAAGTAAAATAATATATGTTTCATAGAAATTTCAGAAAATTCAAAGTTGTATGGACTTTTGACGACATCTGTCAAACAAGGCGTCAGTGGCAAAAAATGAAAACAAAACTGGGTTGGTCATTTATGATTGTATTTGTATAGTATAAATTACTTATTTATAATATATTTTATATAATATAATATAATATAATATAATATAATATATACAAATATATTATTTGCATGTGCCAAATATCAAGGCATAAGCCTGATATTTTTGTAGAAACTACAAACTTTTAGCCAGCACAGTATATTGCACAGTACATGAATATGTTTGATACAATAATTGTATTAATTTAGTATCAATTTTAGTATAGAATATTTTGCATAAAATCCTGAGTATTTGAAGTATACTCCATGCTCGTACCCAACCTCCGTAAGACTTCATGTAACACATTGTATATTGGCCCGGTATAATAAAACGTATGTTGAAACTACCGGGGGTGTGCTAATAGGGCACACCCCTCAGAAATTCTGCCTATTAATTAATTATCATTATCCTATTTTTTTCTTCTTTTTAGTAAGTTTGGCATCCTTCTTTTACCTAAAAATCAGCAAAAAGGATGATAGTTCAGTACACATCCAAAGGTTGCCTTTTGTCCTATTCAATAAGACCATGCACGTACCGAAAAATGGCAAAAATTGCTACCATTTTATGAAAATATCCCGGTACAAATAGGGTTAAAAGCATGCCAGTATTAAATATAAAAGTTAACCGCAAATGCTATGCATAAACTTTGTATTTACTCTCGGCACAATCTGGTGCCACAAAGGATGCATGGTCATGCATGAGCTCATTTTAATTACGGGTTTTGTAGATGGTAATTTTATTGTGAAATGTATATACATTGAGAAGTAACCGGGGAGCAGATGCGAAAAAATGCAACTATAGGCCCTCTGGCAGGAATCGGTCCTGCGGTGCAGCACTCGAACCAACTGAGCTACAGAGTTATGTTGTCGTGCTCTCACCGAGTTAAAAATTAACCGCAAGGTAAATGCATTGCCATCGGCATGATAAGGTTTATAGGTTAAATACGGTAGGATTTTGGGGAGGAGGCAAGGGTTTCGTAGATGAAAATTTCGAGTGTAAATTTATATTTTTCATTTTGATGTAACCATGCAGGAGCGGCTAGCTGCCAAAGGGAGTATATATAGTTGCATTTTCGCAGCTGCTCCTGATTACGTCAAAATAAATGTTTAAACTTTATACTCGAAACTTCCATCTACTAAAACCTTCAACATCGAGTGAAATGCTGAAAAAATCCTGATATTTATACCCAAACCTTACCATCGCATCACCTTAGTATATATATATGAACTTGCGGTTAGAACTCGACAAATGCATGGACTCAATTGCTTACGACGCCACACCCGAGAAGCAACACTGAATCCTGTTCACCAAGGAACCAAAGCCGGAAAACAAGTCTGCAAAACAACTTTTGACCATAGTTTTGACAGTTCGTCGAAATAAGACAAAATCACAACAAAATCTCAATTATGTGACTTAATAATTAGTGCATTTCAACTAAATATCGGAATGTAATGCTAAATTATTCTAAACCCAGATTAAGACTAATGCAATTAAATTAATTTGGTGCGAGACTTACGGATTAAGAACCTTAACGTTATATCCTGCAAGGCCTAAATTCCATTGGTCAGCTGTGAAAAATGTATTTAATATGTGAGTGTTTATACGCGGCTGCAATAATTTAAGCTGTTATTTGTGCCTCATGCATTGAAGACATTGAACATGCTTGAACCTTCACCAAGAGCATGCGTGCACGCTTTTAAATTTTAATTCATGTCGACTATACTTCGATAGTCCAATTAAATTATTAACTAAAAACTTGATAGATAACTTTTATTCTATCGTTGATAATAGAATTTAAAATATATAACTGCGCTAATACTTTTTCAATCTTTCTGTTATTGGCGATTATTTCAGTCTGTTGCAATAATATTATCTTAATCCATGCAAATTACAATTTCCTGTTTGTGAATTTTAACAGTTAAGCAAGATATGTATTTACTAAACAGTGTAGACATTACGTGTCGTGTCGTCTTTCTGATAGACTTGCCACAAGTCCTCACAATTTTCCACTAGTTTTTGTAACGACCGAGTATAAAATTGGATTCGAACGCGACGTGCGTGAAAATAACCTCATTTGAAAATAAAGGACTTTGTCTTTGCGACTCTATTTCATATCTTTATTTACAAGTAATTAACATCATCAAGAAAAATCTCAATCATGCATCTCATCCACCTCAACCTAATTGGTTAATAGGTTACAGTTATATTGATGGAATCACGCACAACCTACACTTTATACCTTGACCTGCATGGTTATAGCCTTGACCATGCAGGGGAAAAAATCATCGTCTAAGACTAAGGATCGTTTAAAAATAGTCCAGATGAATTTTAAACCGTAGTTTAGTTGGCTAGACATGCATGCATGTTACAGTTTAATACCATTCACATGCTAAATCAAAGATTTATACCAATTTAATTTGATTTATACCGATTTATACCAATTATGATAAAAACCACATCTATATAAAAGCCCATGCTAAACGAGGATGAGATGCGGAGAGTTAGCAGAGGTTTTGTGAGTGTTGGCAGAGGTTTTGTGAGTGTTCCAACTTAAATAGAATACATAATAGTGTTGGGAAAGCATTAATTATAAGAACAGCTAACCAAGGCCGCGTGACTGCCAACAGTCATGCACCTGCATGCATGCACTCTCATCCTCGTTTGATCGGGGCTTAACTTATTAAATGATTCCTTTAATCCATACGCTCATCCCAAAGAAGATATAATATTTTTTGTTAAAAAGTTTTATTCTCGAAACATTATAAATATAGTATTAACACCATGGTGCAAATGGCCTTTCTCACGCCATGCGACCAGGCCTAGTCCACCATTTTTTGGGATTTGCTGGCAAATGGCACATAAAAAATGGAAAATAGGCCGTAAGTCGGCAACAAGCAAAGGAGTGGATTTAGTGAAGTAGAAACACAGTACTATCGTTATAAGTACTATTTTCTTCACTATGAATACTCCTTCATTACTTGCATGAAGCAAGTATATATATATATATATATATATATATATATATATATATATATATATATATATATATATATATATATATATATATATATATATATATATATATATATATATATATAATATTCAATATTGAATTTGTGCGTAGTGAACTAGAGTGCTCAACACCAATAAATCAGTAGAGCAAATAAAAAGACATAAACAACAAATTTCAATCTTAAAATTGTATAATTTTATTAATAAAATTTTAAGATTGAAATTTGTTGTTTATGTCTATATATATATATATATATATATATATATATATATATATATATATATATATATATATATATATATATATATATATATATATATATATATAATTATATATTTATTTAGTACGAACGCGTCAGCGTAAACGAACGCGTCAGCGTTACGAACGCGTCAGCGTAAACCGTTGTAATTTATTGCGAGATAATTAGCATCAATCGCCTGATGATCGTACGCTGTACGTGAAACACTGTGTAGCGATGAAATAAAATTATATATATATATATATATATATATATATATATATATATATATATATATATATATATATATAGATAGATAAAGATAATATGAACCTGGTTTACTTCATAAGATTTATTCACTACAAACTTGTTTCGTATGACAAGCAATGCTTGCCACACTCATCAGGTGAATTTAAATGTCGCGCTAAAGACATTTATTTTTAGCGCGACATTTAAATTCCCCTGATGAGTGTGGCAAGCATTGCTTATTTGCTTGTCATACGAAACAAGTTTGTAGTGAATAAATCTTATGAAGTAAACCAGGTTCATATTATCTTTATCTTTATTAGCTCTATACTTCGGTATATCGAGCACGTACTCTACTCATATATGATTCTAAATACATATTTGGTATATACGGCCGGAGTACGAAAATACGGATAGTACGTATATGATTAATTAATAATTATTCGCCGAAGGCGAGGTGATTATCGGGGAATATTCGCTGAGACGAAGTCGATGTGAATATTCCCCAATAATCACCGAACCTGAGGCGAATAATTGTTTTAGTATTTTTACATAAGTCTTTTGTGTTTTTTGGGAC